GATGAGAGGCTGGTTTGGTGAAAAATTTGTGCGTTTAGGCCAGGGTTTGACTTCGTGTGGACGGGGCCTAAGTAAAATGGCGACATACATGTAATTCAAAACAAATCCATTCAGGTAAGTACAAGCCAATAATTGTAAATTTAAAAAAAGTCAGGTTTAAACTTTAAGTATTGTCCCTTATTTTCCGAGGGAATGAACTGAAAGACGAGACCTTGACGAGCCTTGACGAGCTACCAGGACAAGTGTTTTGACAACATCGTAATGGGGAAGCCGAGGAATCCCACATCCTCATCAATGCCTTCTACAAAACGATGTCGATCTAGCTCAACCAGTTCTACTTCTACTTTGTCTCCAGACAGGAGCTTCAGCGATGTCCTGGAATCCATCGATGAAAAGCTAACTAGCCTAGACGCTCGCCTCGCCTTGGTAGGAGTCCTGCATAAGGAGTTTCAAGCTCTCTGAGAGTAGCTGGAATACAGCCAAGCGCAGCTAGCCTCCGTTACCGCTGAGAACGAAGCGCTGAAGGGGAAGGTCACCGAACTCACTGAGGGGATGATCCAGCTGTCCGGCGAAAATAAGAAGATTAAGGAATCCATTCTGGACTTTCAGTCGCGGAGCATGAGAGACAATCTTGTTTTCGCAGGAATTGATGAGCGGCAGGAGGAGGATCCCGAGGCGACAATCTGTGAGTTCCTCCAGCAGAAGCTAAAAATCCCGGCGAATCAGGTAAAAAAACATCACCTTCCATCGCGTTAACCGGCTCGGAAGTAAGAAGCCTGATAAAACCCATCCTAGACCGATCTTAGCTAAGTTTGAGCTTTACAAGCAGAAAGAGCAGGTCAGGAGTCAGGGCAGAGAGCTGAGAGGAACAGATTACAGCGTTAATGACCAGTTTCCAAAGGAAATATTAGATCGATTCTTAATCCTAATCAGGAAGAAATATATCAGTAAATGCATCAGAGCTACAGTAGCAGTTGACAAACTTTATATTAATGGTCAGTTGTTCAGGGATCAGAAGATCACTCCTTGGCTTTATTAGATGCACAACAGGTGGATTTAAAGCATGTGACACCTGATTAAAGTGTATAGAACATTTCACCGTGATAAATGAAATATATGCACAGCTCTAGTTCCCTACTGAGTTCTATTAAGAGTTCTGGAACATTCTGGCCCCAACGTTCCACAGAATGCTGCAGGAAACTCAAGTTAATGGCAAATTTCCAGTTAATATGAATTCTGCCACCATTAGTCTCCTGCTTAAGTCAGGCAAAGATCCTATGATTCCCACCAGCTATCGTCCCATATCCTTAATTAATGTGGATATTAAAATAATCTGTAAAGCTTTAGC